TAACAGCAGACCACAAAAGCTAAAACTTCATTATTTTCAAGTATTTCAACTATAGCTCATTTTATAACTTCAATGGATTTTGATTCTATAAGCACTAAATCTTAAATTCATACGTCTATAATTCTGAATCCTGTTGCTTCATAACCTAATTCCATTAAATCTTAAAAACCAAATGTGCGTAAAGAAACAAAGATTAAGACTTTATCACTATTATTTCATTCAACAAATAAAAATACTTACTGCTGCGATTAGAGCTGTCGCCCTCTGCATTACTGCCTTGTGCTCTTATTACAGGTAAATCCTTTGTACCAAATGTGAGAAGATGTTGTCGATATAGTCGATGCTGTTTCAGCTGTTCTACCCACTTTAGAAAAGACTCAAGAGTCTTAGCCTGTTTACACACAAAATCATTTTAACTTTCTGTGAATGTGATAGCCCAAGATTTAAGTAAAAACAAGATTTATACTTCCTGTGTTCAAACAGGTATTCACTGTTTATGATAATCTGAATAATACATCTTTATTTCAACACACTTTCAATCCAAGAAACTTCCTCATTTAAAATTTCCAGCTTAATAGGTAATGAATACAAAATTTAATTCTTTGTCAAAATTTTTTGCTAGATTCACGACAACAAAACATCCTCAATGCATCTTTTGTACATTTCATAGCACCATAACACTGCTGTACATTTATGAATTTATCATGCTTATTTCAAAGTGAATTTCATGACTGTAACTTTATACAACACACACATTTTAGGCATTGTTCACTGTAAATACAAGCTACTGCTTATTAGATTAATGAAAAGTACACATTTTTATCAATCAATGTATACATATGTGATATCTCAAGTGAAAAAGGTAAAAGAAAACAACTGCATAGAAATATATATATTAGTTCATCATCCAACAAAAATGCAAATATCTGTCCTTTCCATAATGCAACTTTGTATGCACAATGAGGGAAGGAATATACATTCAACTGAAAATCATAGATGTGATGTGTCATGCTAGTACCTTGTCTACATTTAAATAAGATCTGTGTCAACCAAATGAAAAAGATGGTTTTGTTGAATGCTGTCAAACGGTTTCTGAGAAAAACTGCAGGTTTGTAATCTTTTGGACTGTTTACATTTTAATGAATATATCATTTGTAAATAATATCTGGAACAAATTATATCTCTATTATATCTCTAACACACCCATTGTTTCCAACTCATCTAACAACAGGATAGCTATTCTGTTTTAACAAATTTACTGCTGAGCACAGCAGTAATTACTAAACCAAGTCATCTCCCAGAGCCAGTGATGGTTTATATTGTTATATTTAAGGGGCAAAATAACTGTAAAACTGGGAATTTTTGTCTAGACTTATATTCAAATTACATTAACAATAGTTCTACTTTTTGCTACCCAGATATGAATTGTGTCAAATTCAAACATCTGCACAGTAATACAAAACATAAGTAAAACAGAAATCTTAATTTATAATTAAAACTACTCATTAATGTTAATACTAATTAAGCCTGAGTTTTTTCAGCTCAAGTACTATTTTCAGCAATATAGCCACATCCTGCATCAAATTATTAGTAGCTAAACATCAAAGAACAAATAAGACACTTACCTTGAGATGATAGATGAATTCTTCAGCATCTATATCAAGTCGCTTTCGTTTTGCTTTGGTTGATATAACAGATAATCCAATATCAACTGAACCATGAATCTTACCCCTTGCAATGTCTCCTGGGCCTTTGGCATATACCAAGATTCCTTTGTCAACTACAAAGTACCGCTACAAGAAATTCAAAATATATATTTAATAAAATAATAAATCAGGTTAAGTGTCTGACAGTGTTAAAAACACATTTCTGTAGCCCAATTTTTGACATAACATCATATGGTAGGAAATATATTTCATCAGCCTTGAATCTTTATTTTCCTGACTTCCATATTAAAAAGCTTTGGGCATAATTTTATGACATAAAATTTATTTCACTCAGATCAGAGTTAAGTAACTCATTACTTAAATTAAACTATATAATTCAGTATCTATTTGAAATCACACTGCCAAGAATGGGGGGGGGGGGGGGTTGGTGTTTGCAATCAAACATGTTTTTTTACTGGTGTTAATTCAGTTACAAATATTACACACAATGAAATGAAAAACAGTAGAACAATTAATGTTAACCTAGTCAGAAAAAAAAAAGAAAACACATTGCAATACTCTGTTATTTCACTTCAAGCACTGAATACAGATCATTATTGAGAGTAACACTAAACGTACAAAATCTTAAAAGCAAAGAAATAACAAAGCCATTTTTTCAACATAATTATCAGAATTTCATAATATCACATGGTCAGTATCCAATGAATTTGAGTTACCAAGTCTGAGTTGGAACAAGACTGACTGCCAACATTTCAGATACCACTGAAAATTCCACCTTCACAAGTGATGGATTCAGTTGAAAACAGTAAGTAGGGCAGATAGGTAAGGATGGATGTGACTGCTCCTACAGTAACCCCAAGTCTTTTCACTTTCTTGGATGAGTAAATATTATCAAAAATACAGAGACTCAGACAAGAAATGCTTTTCTTATTTCAATTAGATTCAGAGACTGGAAATAATAAGGAGACATTCTGGAAATATCTTAGGTGCCAATTTTCTTTGAAAAGCTTCCACCTACACAGGGAAGCAAGACAAAACTATAAATTAGCAATTATACAATTAAGAAATATATTTTTTCCATAAATTCCACCAGTAATAATAATAAATGTCTATAATTTTTGGACAAAATTATCTAATAAATGGCTTCAATAGCTGGCAACTAGCTCTGTTTAATGACCACTGACAGCAAAATCCAAACATGTAGGAAACAACTCACCACACTATGAATCTTTCTTTTTAATAAAAAAACTTAATTGTTAGCATGTAGGAAACATTTAATACACACCAATTCATACACTCATTTCCCAATTCACATAAGCCATGATATAACACATTTTACAAACACATTATATACTTCCTTCTGCCACAAATCTACATGTAAGATAAGAGTAATGAGAAATTTGTTTTAAACTGTTTATTTCAGGTTTGAGTTCCCTCAGATTCAGTAAGAAGGCAATGCTGGTAGTAGTTCCAAATTTATGTTATTTTTAACTTACTTTGTGCCAGCCCTTGAGAGGCCATTTCCTTTTCTTGTGCAGGTAACCAGTACAAATGTCTGGTTTCCTATCAAACCTCTGCCCATCTTTCAGACCTTCTAAAATCTCCCACTCTGATCCTCGTCTGGCACCTCGCTTCTTTGCTAAAAAATAAGGTATAATCATGTTTGAAAAGAGAAATTAAATTTTAACTCTTTCAAGTTAATATGAATGTCCTTTCTTTGATGAAAAATCTAATTAATTTGTTGTTAGAAATATTTGATCAAAAAGTAAATTACATATAAATTTCAAAGCTCTGCACTATTAATCACAACATACATTCATGAGTAAATGTAAGATATCTGACCACACCAGCACTGCAATTGAGATGATGATCAGTTTTATGCAAAACGACCTTCTCTTAAGAAGTATATAAATTCTACTTGTATTGATAGAGAAAGTCATGTCTAACACTGGACCATAAAGGTCTCAAATATTACATGAGGACTGGCTATAAAATTCTGAAATAATTTGTTGTAATGTCAATCACACACATTACAGAAATAATAAACCTCTGATGCTGGCAACAGTTTCTGACTTCATCCCACCTGGAACTCAATGCTTTGTAACAGTACTAAGTATAACACCATTTTCAAGAAGTGTGTTTATAGTGGTTACTGCACTGTAATGTGAAATGTACACACATCAAGATCTGGGTAAAAACTGGGAGCATCCAACATTCTTAAATCTCCATTTGGAAAAGAAACTCCCAGCTGTACTAGAAACTGAATGATTTGCTAAATTTAAAGAAAGAAAAACTTTACATTGAACATGACCCACTCCTAAAAGTCCACTGCCATCATCACACTGAGAAAACAACTGTACATATTCTGACAAAATTCATAAAGACACAGAGGTAAATGGGTGTTCTCATTTAGATTTTCACAGACCATCAGGAGTAACATTTTCACACCAATAACAGTTGCAATTTAAAGGGGTGTTAAAATACCAGAAAATGTAAAAATACCTGCATACTGATGAAAGAATTAGTACCATTTTCAAGCTAAATATCTAACAATATTTAATTATGTTACATCTAATTATCAGAAAAATTGTATGTTCCATTCACAACAGATAAAGACAAAGTTACCTGCATTGTCTTTTGGTGGTGTTTTTGGTAAGTGATCATTATTTGAGTCAGCAGACAGACTGTTGCTCTCCAAACTGCCTTCCTAATAATCAGAATAAATGCTGAACATCAAAACAGTGGAATTAAGCATGAAGGAAAGAAAAATGTAGAGTACAGGTTGTAAAAATTAAATTGATCTGTAACATACTCTTTATTACTTTGTCATCAAATATTGATGAGCCGGCGTAGCTCAGTCAGTATAGTGACTGGCTACGGGCTGGACGGCCGGGGTTCGATCCCCGACGGGGGCAGAGGATTTTTCCTCTAGCCTCTGCGTCCAGACCGGCTCTGGGGCCCACCCAGCCTCCTCTACAATGGGTACCGGGGTCCTTTCCCGGTGGTAAAGCCGACCGGGGCGTGATGCTGACCACTCACCCCCATCTAGTGCCAAGGTCAAGGAAGAGAGGAGCTATAACTCCTCTCCCTCAAACGCCTACATGGCATATAGTGGGACAAACTTTACTTTACATCAAATATTGCCAAAATATTATGGGTAATTTTAATGCTGTTGAACAGTGATTAGAATATTATTCCTTCTCCAGCTACAAATCAAACATTATTTGTCCACAGACAGAAGACTGAATACTACTTCCAAACAAGCTAACACATATATTTATTTTTCCAGTCTATACACAAAACTTGTTTTAAAATAATGTTGTTTAAATTTTTTTATAACATTTACAATATAAATTGCATTATGTTATATTTTATGGCCGTCTGTGGATATCAGACGTCCGATACATCACAATACAACCTGATAATGAACATCAAAATGCATACTCCAAATCAAGATGAAGACTGAAAATTAAAAATCAATAAACGCAATGCACAAAAATGTACAATAGTTTTTAAAAATGTATGAATTGATAAGCCTGAAGATGATGTGGTAAACATCGAAACATGTCGTCAAAATCAAAAGCGCTGTGATAGATGTAATATTATACGACACAGAAAAGCGCCATAAAATATAACATAATGCAATTTATATTGTAAATGTTATAAAAAAATTTAAACAACATTATTTTAAAACAAGTTTTGTGTATAGACTGGAAAAATAAATATATGTATTGATATAACACAAACATGACGCAATTAAGATATAAAAAGCTAACACATATAATCCAGTCAATCTTAATTAGAATAATTATCCTGTATTTTACAAACCCAGAAGATTTCAAACTATGTGAAAATATTTATCACCATCTCTTTAGTGCAGCAAAAGATGTAAGTTACCTATATACTAATGAAGTAAACAGGAAGCTGCAGTACCTTCTTGTTTGTTTGTTTTTCAAATATCTAAATCTTATATTCTGATTCATTTGGCATGAAACAATACTACACATCAACAAATAAATTAGAGAATTCATATGCAGCATAATTCTGGTGCATTAACTCTTTTACCACCTCTAGACTTTCAATTCATGAACACTAACTTTTGATGTACTCTAATACACAGAGTAAACAGGTGAGGTGGACAACCAAGGATCTCCAATACAAAATGTGATCAAAATCAGTCTAATAGTTTTTGAATTCTAAACTGACACAGGATAAAACCAACTTTTTCTTCATATTTTGAACTAAGAGCATGGCGAAATAAATCAAACAATTTTCACATGATAAAAAGGAAGCATACCTCTAGATACTAAATTCTAGGGATAATCTAGAATTACATGTACATACAATTCTAACACATGGAAATTAAGCATTGCACACATGAAAATGAGCAGTAAAATAAATTGTATGTCCTGGAGTACATACATTCAATATTAAACATGTTTTCAGCAACTTGTCTTTCAATCATACTTGTCAGATTGAAACTACATGCGTGTGTCATATGAGAAGGAAGAGAGTATACTCGTGTCACATAAGTTGCTCATCTACTTACAGAATCAGATGCTGCACCTGTGACAGACTTGATCTTGTTACGAGGCAAAGGACTTCGTTTCTTGTCCATACTTAAGTATTTATTACTTAGATTAGCTGGTTCAGTTGCAATGTGACGCAGACCTGTGGTCATCTTCCGGAGGAATGCCTGAGCCACGCTGCACAACTATTGTTCTGCGAACAACATCTGTACACATAAAAATTAAAGTATGATTTGAAAAGTGCAAATTTAATTTAATAAACATAACAGAATCTTGGGGGGGGGGGGGGGGGAGAAAAAACAAAGACTTAACTCACACTAATTTCCTGATTTCTTTAATAATGCTTTGTCAACTTTACAAGTTTTCCAGGTATTACTAGAGCATTTAAGATACAAAGTTCAATATCTTAGCTATGAATCCAGATGCATAAGTTCACAGTAAAATTCCTTGCCATTAGCTTGGTATCATTTAACAGTTCACCAATTACATACTGTAGGCAGTTAAGGCTTAAACATATACTCTGCTATAGCCCATCTGGCATCATGGAGTTTGAGAGAGAAAAAATACTTTCATGCAATGTCACCTTAAAAATGTTTACATATTGCACTACGATAATTCATCAGTTAAGGTCATTATACCAAAACATGCCACTTGAGATTGTGACTTGCCTTAATATTGACGAACATAACCTTACATTACAACAGAATACCTTTAGACCCTTACAGTTTCTGTTGTACCGAAGGAAACTACTAAACTGAGTTCTTAAAATTGCGTTCTACAATTTTAAATGTAAAATATAATTCAGACACATCAAATTTATATTTTAAAAACTGCAAATCATGCAATTCACAACAGTGGTTGTTAAAGCTCTCTCTTAACAACATGCAAATTCAACGAGGCATTAAAATCTTCACACAACCTGATAAACTATACTCTTTAGAAGAGGTCGTCATCAGTTCCATTTCTTCGATCCAATTAAACTAGCATAAAGTTGGCTCAAATCATGATTTTGACATATCATGCTCATACCAACAACTTTCGTACCTGTGACTGAAATACAAAACATCGCAATAAAAAACTTTGGAAGTTAGTGTGTTATAATAATTCATCTCATCTTTTCCGCACTTACCCAAAATTAAATATAAACGTTGATATCGCAGCATTTATTTACATTTTAATTCCTAATAAAATTTGTAGGCCACTGAAGTTAAGACTATGTAGACAAAAACATAACTAACAGCTGGAATCATTCTTGATTTTGGAGTTCATCGCATAAAATTTAATCAATATTGCCATTAAGGGGGTACGTATTTTACGCGAACACTGAAATAAAGCGGCAAATTCTTCCCATTTCAGCAAATCGTACCCCCCACACTCCTCTTCGAAAACTCAATATTACGTCACACATTGCGGCTGTCATGCATTGCGAGCTTAACAGGTGAAATGCTTGCAAGGTATCTTGATGCTCAAAATAGAGGTTGACCTTATTCCAAATGTAACAGTTACGAAACAGTATCTCATAAATTATGTAATTGAACGAATTGTTTGGTAATACGTGTATTTGGGGTTTATATTAAAATTCAGAACATTAAAATGATGTGAAAAACGCCAGCCTGATACATTAAAGGATCTAGCACCATTGTGGATATAGCTGTAGTGGCTTGTTTTCTATTTCTAAATAAGTGCTACATCAATGAGAGCAGAGATGAATATGCTGATTACATGCTGCAGCTGCAAAACTCTAATGATCCTGGCCTACAGTCATCCACTTCATGCCATACTAACAATCTAGTTCAATATTGCTTCCACCTTTCATATAATGACTTCAAGTGATCACCTTCACATAAAATGCATTTTCTTTTTCCCTTATCCCAGCTTCATCTTCAAAACCCATTCCTCAGTTTAATTCACTTAGTAATATGTGAGCTGTACAAATCATAATATCTCCATTCCAAACTCTATCACATGTTAAGTACAAACATGAAATATTTTTCATGTCACCATCAGATTCATTCAAATACAGGATAACCAATCCTACGTTCTGACACACCTTTCCAGAACCAAAGGCCAAGGTACTGAAATGAGATTTAAGGTTCTCACACTGGAGAAGATGTCAGTGTTGGTTTCACAGGCAGTGAGAGACCAAGTTTCATGCTTATATAAATCAAGAAATAAAATTAGTTCTGTATATTTTAATCTTTAGGTTTTTAGACAGGAGATGGAAAGGCGAAAGGACTATGAAATGGTAACAAGCATTCCTAATGATCATAGTGCAAGGGTCACTTTGATGCCCACCTCACTTACATAATCTCTTCTTAACTTCTATGCAAATGTAAATTTAATCTCTTATTGCCATTCCCAACTATTTTTATACTATGACTTTGTCTTACATTTGGCCAAGATATGAATACACATACTGTTTTCCTTGTGTCTGTATGTAGACCAGCTTCATTACCGATACTATGTTTTTGCACAGCAAATTAGCACTATCACCATAATTCAAAAATTGATGTGTTCCATCCAATTCTAATTCCTCATGCAGCATTTGGAAGTCAGAGGAAGGGTGTTTGCCTTGTGTCAAATGTCTTGGGTTTGATTTCTGTAAATTTTTCCATCTTAGTTTTCTGAGAACTTAATGAAATACTACTAAACAAATTTCATTATCACCAGGCAGCTACAGACCTCCACCTCAGAAAGTGAATTACTAAACAGGCAGGGCAGTAAGGTCACAGGCATTAAAGATAAAAAAAGAGGCCTACACTTGCTTTCTTCATATATGTGCTTGTAGTAGACTTTAGAGAACATCTTATTATATCATAAACAAAATGGTAATATTTTAGGAGAATTACAAATTCAATCAATCATCAAATTTATACAAAATTAAACACATAAGAAAGGTAAATAACGGAATATCAAAAGAGATTACAGTACACCAGTTTAAGAGGAAGAGAAATTTAGGAATACCAATGAAAAGATGGCATGAAATTTTAACAGGCCACAAGACTAAGCAAGAATTTGAAAATATATATTGTTAGAAAGAACAATCATTGTGATTTAACTGAATATGCATTTTTGTCTTTAATTATATAAGTATACACCATAATAAAGTTAATTAAAGAATTTAACAACAGATTCATCTATTTTTATTGCTTTTCTTCTTCTTCTGGCCAAACACCTTTCCTCTATTCTTTTGTTCAGTCTTCTTTTGGCCAAACATCTTTCCAGGTCCAACCTTTTTACTACTTAGTTTGTCCATTTTCTGCTTAACATTGGCACTAGAACAAAGAAATTAACATGAAATTTAGATATAGAAAAACACAATTATGAAACAAATGCATATGAAAAGAGTGCTAGTATTTACAACTCTAACATATTTAATCTTGAAGATTAGATGGAGATATCTCCATGCTTCAAAACTTAAACAAGAAAATATGACTATGTGATAACATATATATACATATTATATAATGACAAAAGTATTCCCATTAGAAACTGGGAATGATCTATGTTATATTGCATGTTGATAGCACTGATCTAAAAACATTTCAGTAACACAGATACATTCTGAATTGAATGCAAAATATGAAACCAATCAAGAAGTCAAATAAAATGGAAGAAAATAACATTTAAATATGAATATGTCCCTGCAAAAAACACAAAATACAAAGTATTTGGTACTAAGTGGATGCACCTGTAGGTGCCTGAAACTCAATGAGAATAATGAAAATCACACACACATGTATATCCAGTAACAATTTTATTTACACTAAAATCCTGTTAGGAAACAAACAAGGTTAGAGAAAATGTTTATTTAGTATTTGAAGAAGAGTAACATAATAATTACAAACACTGAATTGAAAAGAATGTGCGAATAAAAAGCCATTACTTATTTTAAAGTAATATACCAAAGAATGTTCTGAACATGAAAGTAAAAGGAAAACACCAGATATCAAATTTGGAACAACAGGTTAGGAAAGATGTTGCACAAAAAGGACAAACCTGAAAATAAATGAGGGGAAGGAGCTATGGGAAGAGAGAGATGAAACCAATTGAAATCAAGCTATGATATTAATAGAGTGAGTGAAAGAGAAAACAAGGGGATGAATGTGAGTGTTTTTGTCACAAATTATATCACAATCTGTCCCTGTTTGGTCATTGGCCAAAAGACTTTTCTGAGAAATTTCCCTTTTGTTTTCCTATCGGATGAAGGCTATCAAACATAATACTTTTCAGGTGACAACAATCATACCCCTGAATCTCTAATTAAGAACCCTTGCTATAGACAATTGAGCAAGTTTGATAATTATAATAAATGGACACATACTCGTATCTCATCCTTTTTGCTCCTTTCTTGCTCACATCTGTCAGATCTTGGGCAAAAGATGACTTCTTCCTCTTCAAAGAACCTGTAGTAAATACAAAATTGGTAGCTTAGACTAAATTTTAAAATAATGAAGATATAACAGAAACAAGACAAGTGTTCTTTGCACCTATGAATTCTGACAGGTTTCAGTCTGGTTAGAAATGTTTGACTTACAATGCACTGTACTACAAGCAGCTAACTTCATGGAGGAGCTAATACCTGTATAATTCCTAGATTATAATTAAAATACAACTAAATTTCATATGAAAAATCAACTTCTTATCTCTCCTGGAAAGAAAACAAAGTACTAAATTGTATAAACAAATGTTAAGACAACTGAAAAATCCCACAATTATAAACATCATGATTATTTGCAGAGCAAATTCACCAGCATGATCACATATACTTCCTTCCCTTAAGAAAGGAAAGTAGGCAAAAAATAATAACAGAGAAGTACTTAAAACTAGTCCAAATATAAAACTCTAAGAGACTGAGCATTTCACACTTTCTTAGACTTACCTGTCTTGCCTGAATTATGTGCTTTATGATCAATTACTGCCTTGATCTTACGAGGCCTGTCTTTTTTCTTCGCAAGACGAGCTTTCAAAGCTATAACTTTACTGATTTCTGCCTTTGCCCTCTCCTCAGGCGTATCTTTATTTTTTCCGCCTCTTTTGCCACGTTTTGATTGTTTTGCTTCTTTGGCATTACCATCCTGACATTTATTCTTTTCTCTATCATTTGGTTCTGATAACTTCAATTTTTCTGTAATTGAAAGTATGGGTCAGTTACATAATGAACAAAGGGATGACACGAACATACAATAAATTTTCTGTTATAATGTATTCTCATGGTTTTTGTACTTATGTTGGACATGTGGTAGGATTTATTTCCTACCACATGTCCAACATAAGTACAAAAACCATGAGAATACATTATAACAGAAAATTTATTTTTGGTCTAGAACTGTCATAACAGCAGACATTTATATATAACAGTTCCACTAAAGGTACTTTATACTACCATGATCCTGTTAAAGAATGTGTGATATAGTATTAGATTTTTCTGTGAAAACTACATGTGGCAATACAAAGTAAATAGCAGTAAAGACCTGTCAGTACGCTTGCACAATATATGAACACACTAATTGTCCCTTTATAAGTGTGGTTCAAAGTGTTGTAAAATTTTCTTCTAAAACTTATCTTTTCATTCTTCTTAAGACATTTCCACTTTATGTGGATCATTAAAATTAGATGTAATAGTATGTAGCCTGTATATAAGAGTTTTCTTTGAATGCTTAAAATTAAGTTTCAAATTAGTTTTTGGCCTGCCCCTGTAACATGTTTATCTTCAGTAGCATAAGAAGTCTCCACACACATGCACATAAAAGACAAAACAATCTCATAAAAACATCATTGTAGTATAAGCTAATAACAGAATACTAAAGGATACATACTTTTTTCTAGCTTTCTTTGTTTATCAGACTGGAACCAAGAACGTGGTGTCTCTGTTTCACCCTTTAGAATCTTTTCAGCATGATTTGCTTGGTTCTCAGCCCGGTTCAATGTACGTTCCTCCCATTCCTCCTGCAGGATATGTTTAACTTTGTCTTCAAGCGCAGACACACGAACCCTATATTTTTCCACTATATCTGAAATTGTGAGGCAAACATGCTATACAAATAGAGTACAGCAGACATTTTTCCAGAAAGGAATATGAGTACAGGGACATAAAGGTGAATTGAAGGAAACTTTCTGTTCACTCTCTTCTCTTTAACACTGCAGTGCATATGCTTTGTTCCCCAGTGTGATGCTTAAAACTCGATAAACAGCATATTCATAAAAAAAGATAGTCATGCTGTAGCAACAGACTTTAATGCTTCTTTATCTGAATGTCTTACTGTGTGAAGGTATAATAAAAGTATGTAATTATAATTCAGAAAATCTAGGGCCATATTTCAAATTACTAACTTTTCATCATAGACATGACCTCATCAAAATCATAATTGAAACTTAATAACTGTAAAAAGCAGACAATAAACTAATTTCTTGATTTTGGACTTCATTGCCAAGGAATACATTTTCAAAGCCTACTACATTACATTACAATGACAATCACTGTATTTATGATTATCTAAATACCTTGGTTGAACATGAGCATGGTCATTAGGACATAATTATGGGCAAAACATAAGAATCAAAATCATAGCTATAAGGTATTGAAATCTACCTGTGGCAATAATACGCATCTTCACAGGATTTGTAGCCTTCTTAATGACATCCTTCACAACCCTACGCTCTCCTTCACCAGCAAGTGATACAGATACACCAACTCTTCCTGCTCTGGCTGTTCGACCAACTCTGTGAATATAGTGCTCCACTGTGGCAGGCATCACAAAGTTAATTACCTGTGGCAACAAAAATTCATCAAAAGGCTTCATTTAATTTCCTATCAGGTAGGGCAGTTCTATTGCCATAAGAAACAAGCGACTAATATAATGGCCAGTGTTCTGCAACCATTGTGCTGAGACAAGGTTTCAGGCATGCAGTGAATTTTTATAAGTCGTGTATTCATACATTATAGTTAGAAGAAGGCAGTATCTTATCTTTTGTAATTACAACAAACATGCACACCCTCTCACATACACACAGGTTCATCATTTATAGTTTTGTTCAACATGTGTTTTGTTTTCATATGTTTGCACTATATAAGGCAAGGATTTGCACATGGATGAATTTTATGCCATGTATAGTTTTATACCCTCTTTTGTGAGGTAAAATTATGCGGTGTACCATCCACTACAGTGACACATCATCATAAGCTCCACATTATAATTTCACTACAAAGTAATTTACTTACTGTTTTGACACCTCGTATATCAAGACCACGAGCAGCTACATCTGTTGCTACTAGTACATCCACCTCTTCATCTTTAAATTTTCTAAGTGCATCTAGTCTCTGAGGCTGTGACATATTACCATGCAACTCTGCAACCTGAGGACAAAGAAGATACATTACATTAAACAGAAAAATAACATTTTAATGTTTCTGGTACATTATAACTTCTAAAGACTGAATGGTGTATTCCTTGGAATACATCGACATTCCAAAGTGTTTATGTCACCTCATGCAGTTCATTCCTGCACAGGGAAGTCCACATCTGGTGCCCAAGGCATGGAAGAGGTGGCCCATGGGGCAATGACCCTGGAGTAACAATTACTGACGGCAAGGCCCCAACAAACCAAGCATCCTGGGGAAAGGCCTGGGTGGCAAAGCCCCTGGGGTTAACTAATCCTGGTTTGGAGTAAATGTTGGGGCATTACCTGCAGTGCCCTGAAAGGTACTAATCCCCAAAAATAGGCTAGCCCTGTGGGTGGCAGAACTAGTTAGGGCACTTCAGATCCTCCTGGGGCCTGAATGATCTAACCTGAGATAACAGAGGCAAAGGGGTGTCAAACCTAGTAAAAGCAAGGCAAAGGAATAACAATAACAAGAGGATAACAACAACAAATTCCCCATGACCTTCAACAATGACCCCAAGGAAAGCTGGTTGGCTACCTCCTAGGAAAAATATGACATATGGATAAGCCCATAAGGTGTTCTTCACTCATTCTTGAGCATGAAGAAGACCAACAACAAAAAATTATGTAAAGATGAAACACGTCTAATTTATTTATAATTAGCATTCTTCTTTGATTGTAATATGAAATGAGTTTGAACTGAGCCTTTGCCTTGTGGGTTTCTGAATTCTGGTCAGACTGGCAGTTGCACTTGAGAACAAGACACACAGACATCTACATTTTAAGCTGAATTGAAAGCTATGAAGCCAGTGTTCAGATGACCTAAGATCATGTGCACCTTAGATTGCAGTGTCATCAGGATTAGCATAATTTACCCTATCAAGATTTTGAACTGTTTCCTCTTATCTCTATCATTAATTCCAATTTATAAACTCAAAAGTTAAAATTATACAAACTTTAATCCCAAGTAATCCCAGAAGAATGTGAATTTGATGAGCCTGTTTCTTGGTCTGAACAAATACCATAGTGTGGTCACGAAAGGTGCGGCAAATCAGGGCAGCCAATATAGCTTCACGGTCACCTTCATGCCCTGCTCGAATTCTATGTAAAAAACAAAGTGCATTATAATTGTTTATGAGTTAAGTAACTAACATTATGGTCTGGAGTCAAGAAGTGTTAATTCACCACTTACACAAAAATTATATTCATCAAACATTTCCTCTACAGGAGGCACTATCTTGAACAGTCAATGTAGTCAGCAAATTGACATGAGATACAGAGTCCCATTTATCTTATTTAACAAAAGCATATAACAAACTATTACAACCTGAGTATCTAAAAAAGCTCATTTCAGAACTGCTCACCATACATACATCTGTACATATTCACAAAAAATTATAATATAAACAAGGATATGGACTAAGAAAAGTGAAAACACATCACAAGCAGTGAAGATGCTTTATATTAAAACAGGGGATTTAAATACAGATAACACAGGAATG